CCCTCCCCAACTCTGGCTGCAGCCACGACACTCTGCTGACCCCTCGTGGTAGAGGTGGGCAGCGGTCCTCGTCTGCCAGAGACGCACGCCGGCTGTCTCATCCCCGGCTGGAGAAAGGGGCGAGGCCATCCATCTACTTCTCCCTCATCCTTCGCCGCCGGGACCTGGCACTGCCGGGTGTGGAGGAGGAAGGAGAGAAGACCACACAAAGAAACCTGAGAGAGGCGTAAAGAGTTTGCAAGCTTTTGCTAGCACCTCCCACATAAACACTTCTTGGATTTTTCTAAGTTAGGGCTGGTGTGGAATTCCTTATTCCTGTCTTGTTCTAAGGTGGGCTCAAAAAGGCACTATGTCTAGTCCCCACAACCTGTCTCAGTCCGCCTGGTTAGGGAAGGGATGCATCGTTTCCAGGGCAGATACTTTCCTTAGCTCAACCCAGGAGGTAGTATCCAGTTTTATTTTAAAGGTGAGTGGTCTGAGAAACCAAAAAATTTAAGCAATTTATTTCAATTAAGGTTAGGCAATTAGTAAGGAGGATTTAGAACTCAGGTGTCTTTAACATCCCAGTCTTTCCTCCCTCCAGGGACTGGGCTAAGCCTCTAGGTCCTCCCACCCTTGCAATAGGCGGCCACAGGGGCCAAATCCATTTTTACTACAGCGTCTGCAGAGATCTACCTGGAAGAACGTCTCTGCCCTGGGGTTATTCAGAAAGGAGACAATCTCTGGAATCAGTCATTTCCTCTCCTGAAGGGACCACACAGGGTCGAGGTGGGGAGCTGCCACCTGCTGCTTTCTCAGTCCAGCCCCACTCTGGACCTTTCAGAGGACAGTGTACGGGGGAGGGGCACTGTCTTCCCAGCTTTAGTGGACATTCTTTTTCCAATGTCAAGTGCAGAAGATGGAGTTTAGTTTCATAAGAGGGCAGGGAAGACTCCTATATAATAATTCAAGTGCCAGACCCCTGTTTGCTCCAGTGACCCCTGGTACTAATGCCCCCCACCATTCTCAGGAGTCCCTGATCAGTCACTCTTTTTTGGGAATCTAGATCCCTCCTCACGTTCCACTGGGGCCCAAACTCAATCCTGAAGGCCACACCTTCCCGCGCTCCCGCAATGCTGAAGCAAGGCCTGTAGCCCCCTTCATCCTCAGCAAAAGGCGAACTGCCAGCGGGTGAGGTTGCGCTCCAGCCCACTTGCCATCAGGATGATGCCTTCATTTCGGCCAGGCCTGACTCCCTCTCTACGCTTTCATGAGGTGAGGGGGACAGCACAGGATCCTCTTCTGCCACCTGCCACCCCCAGTTTTAGCAGGTGGACTACAAGCCCCATGATGCCGCGGGGCCGACCTGTGACAAGCTCAGTCCCGGGCACCCAGGTCCCCCTCCTCTCTCTCCCGCATCTCCGCACCCCTCGCCCGCCGCTCCGGTTGAGGGCCGGGCTATGCGGCTCCACAGAGCCGGGGTCTGCGGGCGCGCGTCCCTGCGGCGGCGGCGGCGGCGGCGTCCCCGAGGCCAGAGCCCGGTGCGCCCCAGCACCCGCTGCTG